AGTAAGAATAGCCTCCGTGTGCTTCACAGTCTGCTTCACCAGCAATGCCGCCTTCATACGTTTGGCAGGAAGCTACATAATTAGTTAAATTATGTTTTAAATCTTCAGTTAAAATATTAAATAAAGAAGCAACAGCTATTGCGCAGTAAGCCCCTCTGAGGTGTACGTACACTCCAAAACACTAACACAAAACTTCCTCTATAAACCAATACACAAAGACAAACAAATTATATATATAGCAGCAGCACCACTAACAGCCGCAGCACTAACAGCAGCAGCAGATGGTGCAGCAGCGATAACAGCAGCAGCAGGGATTGCAGCAACAACAGCAGCAGCAACAGCAGCAACAGCAGAAACAGCAGCAGCATCATCATAAAAAATAATTAGGAAGCGATAAACCCCGACAATAACCAACCCCTAGAACAAAACAAAACGAGAAAAAACAAAACCAAATAAAATATATTTATTTATACATTGATTTATTTATTAATATTAATATTAATATTAATATATTTATTTATTTACCTCATATCAACTTCACCGTCTCTATGAAGCCTGAAGCCTCCACAGGGGCTCTTAAGCGCTTTGAGTGTACGATAAAGCTGCATTCTTTTGTCTTTGTTTATCGTACACCAGCGCTCTAATAATCGCATTTCTGCTAAGCAAGCTGCTGCTGCATAAGTGCATGCAAGGTGCGCCTGTTGTTTATATCCTCCGCCCCAGGCACCGCCTCCTTTATCATCCCAGCATAGATCTAATGTATATAATATTCTGAAGATTAAATAAACAAACAATGCACAGCCTTTTTATTATTTATCAAACTTTTATCTTCGTAGTCTTCATTTATATACACATACTTCTATATATGTATATGCATGTATATAGAGATTCGTATAAATATATATATTTATATATTTATACATATATACATAGATAAATATATATATATATATAGATAATATATATATATAGATAATATATATATATATATAAAGTATATAAAACTCTGCTCATCAGAAAACAAACAACAGACAGTTTATTATTTATTTATTGTAATTGTTTGGTTATTGTTGTAGTAATAATCAAAGTATTATTATTAGCATTAACAAAGTATTATTATATTAAAATATAATAATAATTAAATAAATAATTTACAACAAACAAATAAAAAATAAACAAATAAAAATAAACAGATAGATGCAAATAAAAGATAAACAAAGGATAATGAAGAATATGTAAGAACAAAACAAAAACAAATAAATAAATAAAAACGGCAACATGAGCAAATAAAAAATGACGAAAATAATAAACAATAATTAATAAATAATAATATTAACAATAATAGTAATAGTAATAGTAATAATAATAATAAATAATAATAAAATAATAATAATAATAATAAATAACAACAATAAATAACAACAATAATAACAACACTAATAATAAGAAACAATAATACTAAAATAATAATAATAAACAATAAAAATAGTAAAAATAATAATAAAACAACAACAACAACAATAATAATAATAAAACAATAACAATAATAAAAATAAAGATAATAAATTAATAATAATAATAATAATAATACCTTTCTCTATAGTCTTGCAGAGGGAGAGCGTTGAGGAGTTGAAGGCTGTGAACGATCCAGTAGACTAACCAGGGCTTTGAAGCATTTAATTCTATCATAGTGCTTGAAAACGGTGTATGAAGATGTTTATTTAAAAATAATATATGTTCGTTACGCTGCAGATACACCTGAGATGATGCCCGCCTCCACAGAAACTCAAGATCTTCTATAGGCATATCTTCTTCATCTTCCTGCTCTTGCTGCTGCTGCTCCTGCTGCTGCTGCTGCTGCTGCTGCTGCTGTTGCTGCTGTTGCTGCTGCTGCTGGTGTGAATGGAGGAGAGCGGGGTGCTGCGCTAGAGCTGGGAAGTGCTGCTTGAAGCACGAAAGACAATCTTCTTCTAGCTGCAGCTGTGCTGCTGCAGTTTCTGTTAAAGGAAGACCAGGGAACCCAGCAGCAGCAGCAGCAGCAGTAGCAGCAGCAGCAGCAGCAGCAGAAGAAGAAGAAGAAGCATAAGAATAATGCAAAGGTTGATGCGGGCAGGCGTGCAGCAGCGCTCCTAAAGCTTCGCCTTCAGGCCCTAAACAGCCGCAGCCAGATCTATTCCCCTCTCTCCTTGCTGCTGCTGCTGCTGCTGCTCCTGCTGCTGCTGCTGCTGCTGCTTCTCTTGAATCCATTTTCAATGTGTAGAGGGAGAGAGAGAAGAAAGATAAATCAATATACAGAGAACAGGAAGAGAAAACAACCTGAAATAAACACAAAATAAACAAATATATGCACAAGATGCTGCATGCATATCAAGAAAATATAGAGGCCTCCTGATTAAGGGTAGGCAGCAACAACGGGATAATGCTGCTGCTGCTGCTGCTGCTGTTGCTGCTGCTGCTGCTGCTGTTGCTGCTGCTGCTGTTGCTGCTGATGTTGCAGTTGCTGAAAGGGTTATACTGCGGCTGCTGTTCTGCTCTGCTGATGTTGCGGCGGCTGTTGCTGCTGCTGCTGCTGTTGCTGTTGCTGCTGTTGCTGATGTGTGTACTCCACGTAACGGGTTGCGGTGTATGGGTCGTTTAATTAAGAAAAAGTTTAAAAATACAATATTCTGCTAGCAGCATATTTATTCATTAGAAATAGATCTGCGCATGCATTTCATTTATATTTAATAATAAATAAAAATATTAAAGTTGTTTTAGAGATATTAATATATCTGCTGTTTTGTGTGTGCGTGTCTGCAGCGTTTGGTGTTGCTGCAGCGCTTACTTGTATTAATGGAAGGCGTTTTCAATTGTGGTGTACAGGCAGCTGAATGAAGGAATGTCTCTCAAGCTGCAGCAGCAGCAGCTGGAGCAGCAGCAGCAACAGCAGCAGCAGCTGGATGACGCAGAGCCAGCCGCTGAGTAGGAGGAGTTGGGGAGGTGCGGTGATGAGTCTATAGAGGGGGAAGATGCTGCAGTAGTAGAGGAGAGCTGCTGCTGCTGCTGCTGCAGCTGCTGCTGCTGCTGCTGCTGCAGCGGTACAACTCCTCAGCAGCTGTCTGGCTGGCTGTGCTTGTTATGGATAGGTAAAAAGGTGTGCACAGAGATTAAATGAGTTTATTCTTTGATTGAACGCATTATTTTCGTTCTAAACAGCATTTTTAATGAATATTCCTCGGCATTTGCTGCAAAGAAGCCGCCGCCTCCTCTACCGTACATACATAATGCGTCTATCATTCAACTTTCAGCGCTGCGGGGCTGGGCTTACACTTTGTGTAATTTCTTTCGGTGCAAAGAAATCTAAAAGTAAATTAAATGGTTAAAATAAATTAGTTTCATGATTTAATTCTTCATTTCCTTCATCTTCTTCGCCCTTTTCCCTGACCTTCGCCACCGCAGTCGCCTCGGCTTCCAGCAGAAGCTTACGCGCAGTAACGCTGCATTCTTTTCTTTTTTCCTTTGTATTTAATTATTAATTATTGTGTTTATTGTTCGTATTTCGAAAGATCAGAAAGATAAAGCCAACAGTTTAAACCAGCAGGTGCTGCCGCCATCTCCCTTGCGTTTATTCTTCGTCGCCGTTGTTGTCTTGCATTACAGCGATCTTGATTCTTCTGTTTATTTTTGCGATTAAATAAATATAAATTTGTTTTTTAAGTGTATTTTATTGTATTTCTGTCCAAGAGATCATCGAATTACTCCGCGCTTTCCCTCTCTTCCACCCTCAACCCACCCTCACAACAGCAGCTGCGTTTCAATTAAGAAGAGATGCATACACCGCGCGGCCGCCTTCTCTGCTGACTTCTGCTGCTGGGCAATGGCGATTGGCCCCTTAGGACGAATCGTCGTTCAATTCGTCGCAGTTGCAGGGGCCTCTCTCGGCCGAGCGGTGCTGCAGGTGGGCTACGTTTCCTGCTGCTCCTGTTGCTGCTGTTGTTGTTGCTGCTGTTGTTGCTGTTATTGTTGCTGTTGTTGCTGCTGTTTTTGCTGCTGTTGTTGCTGCTATTGCTGCTATTTATGCGCTGCATGTGTTGTAGCTGATGCAAACTGCAGATAATGTATAAATGAATAAATAAATATATATAGTATATATTTGCATGTGTTCTGTGTCTGCGTCTCAGGCGTACAAGGATGCAGCGCGGCAAGGTGCTGCTTCAGCAGCAGGAGGAGCAGCAGGAAGAAGAGTTGGTTGCGGCAGTGCAGCAGCAGCAGGAGGTTTATCTCTGCGGCCGCGTATGAGTGCAGATGAAGCAAGAAAGATATTAGGCTTCGGCGGTGGTGAGTTAAAGAGCGAAGAAATACTCAAAAGATTTACACGTCTTCATCAAATCAACGCCCCGTCAGAGGGCTTCGTAGGCTCTCCTTACTTGCAAAAGAGAGTTGCAGTAGCAAAGACTATCTTGCTAGAGGAGTGCAGCAAACAAAAACCAGCAGCAAACGCTGCCGCTGCTGCTGCTCCTGCTGCTGCTGCTGCTGCTAAGGGAGAGACGAAGGCGAAGCAGCACTGAACAGAAATTATGCTGTTGCTTTGTTGCCCTTCGCAGCAGCAGCAGAAGCAGCAGCTGCTGCTGCAGAGCTCGAGGTCTGCTGCACTTCTGAAGCAGCAGCTACGGCAGCAGCAGCTGCAGCAGCAGTGGCTGCAGCTGCTGCAGCAGCTGCGGCATGCGAAGAGCAGTTTGAATGTAACAATGCGTTGTGTGCATTTTCATGTATTATCGCAGAATATTAAAGAATATTTTTTATATATATAACTACGCTCTTAAACAAATATACTAATATATATATTATATATATATATATTAGTATACAGACATACAAGTGCTCCTGATACTCTATTCCTTTCTTAGCGATTTACTTCGCAGCATTTAAAGCGAAGGACAGCAGCTTCTAAAAGAATTGCAATATTTTAAATGAGAAGCAAACGCTTGAGAAAGGCAGAGTGAGACCTGGAGGTGCGTATACACCGCAGAATTGCAGCAGAGAAACAAACAAACAGATAAATAAACAAATAAACAAATAAATGAACAAATGAACAAACAAATAAACAAACAAACAAACAATTAAACAAACGAACAAACGAATAAACAAATAATAAATAAACTAAAAAATAAACAAACAAACAAATAAACAAATAAACTAAAAAAACATCGACAACGGCGGCTGCTAATTGACGCATAGAGAGACATACGTAGAAATATTTATATAAAAATAAATTTATATATATATATAGATATATGTTCGAGTATATATATATATATATATGTATATATATGTTTAAATATATTTATTTATTTTTAGTGCTTAGGTATTTATTTACTTCTTTGTGATTTTCGTTTCGAGATTTCATGCAAATGCAAAACTGCTGAAGGCGTTTATTTTTATCTTTCTTCGGTTCCCAATCTATGTTTTATTTATTTGTTATTAAATTAAAAATAATAAATACTTGATGTTTAAGGAAATGATGAAAGAATTGTTTATTTAATTATTTATTTCTGCAGTTGAGGTGTATGTACACCTCAAGAAGGAAACCGCGATTAGTTCTTTCGTTCATTTCATTTTTGTTTTATTATTATTACTATTATTATTACTTTCTTTTGGGTTTTTATTTTATTCAAATAACTCAATTGAATTTAATTGTATTTATTTCGTTCTGGCTGTCTCATCACAGCTGCGAAGAAATAACTGCTTTGCAGATGCAGACGAAAAATTTATTTTTTCTTTTGTTTCTGCTCAAGTACTTCAATAGCTGCCGCTCTGCTGCTGCTCACGGTCTTAACAGCAGCAATGTATATACACTTTTCTGCAGAGATTGTTCATTGCCTGTTATTTTAAAAGTCTGCTGTCTTTCAGCTTGCGAACAAACGCCTCTCGAAGCAGACGAACAGCTGCTTATACGGCTCCAACCTGCAGCAGCAGCAGCAGCAGCAGCTGCTGCTGCTGCTGCTGCTGCACAAACAACTGCTGATGCTCGAATTGCAGCAGAAGGAAATGCAGGCACATGCGACCAAGTCGTGTTCACTGCACACAGCACCAGCAGCAGCAACAACAACAGCAACAGCAGCAGCAGCAGCAACAGCAGCAACAGCAACGTCAGCCCGGAGTTGCTGGTTGGGTTGGTGGAGTTATTGACTGCGACGACTGTGAGCTATCATCCTTTTGTTTGTTTTTAGTTTTTGTTTGTTTTGCATTCAGCAGCATTATAATAAAATAAACTTCAAATACACTTCATTATTTGCTGCTGCCTTCAGGTGGCGGTGGTGTTACCCCACAGCTCACCTCGACGCGTTCGGGAGTGGCTTCCATTCGAAGCTGCTTACAGCATGCAGCAGCAGCAGCAGCAGCAGCAGCAGCAGCAGCAGGAGGGGGGTTATAGGCAGCGCGGCAGTTGGTTCTGCGCAGTAGGAGTTTTAAGCTGTTTTGCTGTTTATTCATTTCTTTGTTTTGCCTCGCGTCGCTCTTCTTATAAAAAGTAAATCTAATACAGCCTGCTGCAGCATTTTTGTTTGCTTTCAACCTATTCATTCAAAACTTTTAGAGAAGGCGAGGTGAACATACACCCCAAAGCCAAACCCCACACGGAACCCCCCTGGTGTATAGAGACCGCCCCACAGCAGCAGCAGCAGCAGCAGCAGCAGAAACAGCAGCAGCAGCAGCAGCAGCAGACGGTTGAATATCATATAAAAATAGATGCAAAGAGAAGCAAATGGCTGTCGCGTCGATTTGCTGCTGCGAAACCTCCTAATGTTTTTTATCTTTCTTTTTCTGTGAAGCACCCAAAGACATTTGCATTGGTGAGACAATAAATAATATATTTAGCTGCATTAATTTATTTTTATTATTTGTTTGCTGCTGCTTCTACGTATTCATTAATGCGTTTATTTGCTGTTTGTTTTTGTTTATTCATTTCAGGCACTTACTAGTTGTTTATTTTTGTTTATTTGCTCTACTTTTATTATTTTATTTTATTTATTTATTTTATTTATTTTATTTATTTTATTTTTATTTTTCTGCAGGTCGCCGCAATTGCGGCGATTGATTGAAGACAGCAGACTACAAACTTAAAAACTAAAATAATTAATCTTTATTATTTATTTATTATTATTTATTATTATATATTTATTATTTATTGTTTATTTAATTATTTATATATTTATTTAATTATTTATATATTTGTCTTGTTCGATTGTGTTGTTGCTGCGCTTCGTTCGATGATATCTGCAAGAGAAATAAATTAAGCGGGTTTAGTTGTTTTAAAATCAAATAAATAAAAACAAATAAATAAAAACAAATATATTAAAGCAAATAAATAAAAACAGATAAATAAAAAGAAATAAATATAAAAGAAGTTAATAAAAAGAAGTTAATAAAAAGAAGTCAAGGAGAAGAGACGGAGGATAGTAAATAAACAAAAAGATATAAACAAAAACAAACAAACAAACGAAGATAAACCAAATTAAATAAACAGAAACAAATAAACAAAAAGAAGTGCATTAAAAGAAATAAACAAAGACAAATAAACAAAAACAAATAAACAAAAAGAAGTGCATTAAAAGAAATAAACAAAACAAAGAAATAAACAAAAAAGATATAAATAAAAAAAGAAATGCAGATTTAATTGCGAGGCCTCCGCTCCATCGTAACCAACACTCTGCCCACTCCTACAAAAACAAACACAAACCCTAAACCCTAAACCCTAAACCCTAAACCCTAAACCCTAATGCCTAATGGGGCAGAGAGACGCTGGAGGCTCGAAGCAAATACGCGATGCATTATATTTCCCGTCCTGCGGCCTCTTGCTGTTTTAGTTGCTGCTGCTGCTGCTGCTGCTGCTGCTGCTGCTGCTGCTGCTGCTGTTGCTGCTGCTGCTGCTGAAGTGCTGTGCACTTGGTTTGGTTTATTTAAATTGTTGTTTATTTAATTTAATTATTTAATAATTTAATATTATTTAATTGTTTAATTGTTTTATTCATAATTACCCCCTGATAAAACCTGCAAGCTCTTAGCAACAACATTTAAGTCGCAGTGCTGTAAAAAAGAAATATCATCGCTGGCGCTGCAGCAAAAATAAACAAATAAATAAAACAAATAATAAATAAAACAAAATATATATACATATATAATAGCTTCCTTATCTTTTAAATAAGTTGTTCTCTATTAGCATTATTGTTATTATTATTATTATTAAATAGTAATATGCGTATGTTTTACTATTAATTAAACTTTTATTGTCTTCATTATTTTGCTATAATATTAAACAGCATAACTCGCCTTCATTTAAACCATATTTACGCGCGTGTTGAGGTGTATATGCAGCTTATTGAGGTGTACAAGCATATAAATGCATATTATAATTTGAGGTATATATAAATGTATAGCATTATAGTTGAGGTGTATCTGCAGCGTGTAGGTATATATATATATA